TTATTTTGATGGTTGTCTTTCCGTTATTTATTTACCGTGTTATTTAAATTAAAAATCTAAGCACATGAATACAAATAAAATACTAAAAATACTTAAACAATTCACGAAATGTCAAAATTTAATTTAAAAAACAACTACCGAAACAGTAAAATATGACAATAGATCTCGACTCATTTTTATTTGTTGCTGGCCTTTTTGTGACTTAGCTTCTTTTTTTTTTTTTTTTTCCTTTTCTTTTCTCTGGCCTTAGGTCCTTCTAATGAAGTTTTTATTCACCAAAAAGGTACATAGATTTGGATACTTCTTTTTTTTTTTTTTTTTTTGGAGAGAGAGAGAATTAGGAGAAACTAATAATCAGTATTAGAATTTAACGATATGGATTCTATGTTTATTATTTAAAAACTTCCAATGGGTGTTGAGATAATATTTCTAAGAGATATACCTTACAAAATGCCAGAAAACTAATTTTACTGTGGAGTGCCAATTAGAAAAGTGCAATTTGCTCAATATGTAGCGTTTACTTTGCAAAGAGGAGTGGGCAACTTCCAAAGTCATACTTTTAATGGTAGGCAATTTGTGGCAATTAATATTCTACTTGAAGTTTGGGACACTTTTTAATTGTGCCCCCCTTTCTCTCTCTCCACACACACACACACACATATATATATATACACATATATGGGTCCGTCTCACACAGACATACAAAATGATCATGATTAAGCTGTAGAAATTTAAGATAAAAGCGTGAATAATTTCTCGTAGCATATGATCTTAAGGTGAATTATTGAATGGTTGGTTGGTCTAGCATATGATTAGATTTGTGGCCTATAACCATTTTAAGAGTATAGTCGGTTTGGTAGCTAGTAGAGTGGTCGTTAGGCCTTAATTTGATACTTAATTTGATAAAAAGGCAATTAAGCAAGCACTAGAGGAAATTGAGCAAAGACGAGTGTTAATTTTTAGAAGTCAAAGAAATCGTCCCTTTCCATTTCACAAAAAAAGGAAAAAAAAAAAAAAAGATACCGTCTCTTTAATTTGGTGAAAATTTGCCTATTTGGTTGGAGGATTCGTTCTCTAATTCAAATCATGATTCGTTCTCTAATTCAAATCATGATTCATGGTTCGCTACAGTATTTTCTCTCACAAAAAACACACGTAAATCAAAAATGGTTCTAATCCATGAACCAAATGGTACTGCATAATGATCATCATGATTGACGCACACAAAGTGTACACGTTTGGTTCTTGGATTAGAACCATGTGATTAGAACCATTTTCGATTTACGTGTATTTTTTGTGAGAAAAAATATTGTAGTGAACCACGAACTATGATTCGAATCAGAAAACGAATCTAGGTACCAAATATATGTACTTATCCATCACATTAATAACTTATAATGACTTTCTATTCTTGCTAAGATAAATTTCACATCAATCTTTTGGATAATAATCCAAGAAAGATTGCAGGCGATATTTTTATAAATAAATTTCTGAATCTCTCTATTTAGAGAAAAAAAAAAGAGTATGTCTCATGAGGATTCCTGGCCTGTCAAGTAACTCAAAATAATAATAATAATAATAATAATAATAATAATAAAACTCAATAAATAAATTTCTGAATCTCTCTATTTAGAGAAAAAAAAAAAGAGTATGTCTCATGAGGATTCCTGGCCTGTCAAGTAACTCAAAATAATAATAATAATAATAATAATAATAATAAAACTCAATAAGAAAAAAATTTACCTTTTAAATAAATTATTATCGCAATCAAACTATATAAATCAATATTAAGGTATTGTACTCACTACTAAATTATCAAGTAACTGGTCATCTTCCTTTCATTTTCTCTTATTCTTCTTTAAATATATATATATATATATATATTTATTGTTGACGGTGAAATTTCGTCAACAAGTCTTTACCAGATTACCCTATAATAGCCCGTTGGGTTATCGGTTAGGAACTTGTGGTTTTACTGAATATAATGAATTTTGTATTTGGGTTTTTACTAAGTTATGAAGTAAATGAGATTATGCTTTTGAAAGTAGAGAAGACACCGGAGTTTTATAGTGGTTCACTCTGTTAATCAAGAGCTACATCCACTGTATTGTATTTCTTTTGATTTTGCTCTTACAAATTACGTGCACGTAAGGAAAATTTGTTCATCTCCTTTTTTCTCTACTCTCTCGGGGGCTCTTCCCTTTTATAGTTGATGTTGCCTGAGCTTCTGCCCAATGGTAGGCAGTTTGGACCAATGTATCGTATCCTTCGTGGGGCCCGCCCACTCGAGTGGCCTATGGTCTCTTTGGTGCAAACCGTAGCCTGCAATTACCTTTTGGACTGTTCGCTCATCCAATTTGTCTCCCTATTACGGCTCTGTAGATCTTTGTAATAGCTAGTGATCCGTTTCAAGCGGTTTCAGGGGCCTGTAATAATTTTTTATGCAACTGACCTTCTCCAAACCCAGACGCAACCTTCTCAGGGGTCTTCCTTGGGACACGGGTCCAACTGCTTGTGGTCTGCCGTCTGCGCCTATGCTGACCTCTGCCAAGGGTATCTTCTCTCATGGCCGACTTCATCACGTCATTTTACCTCTGGTCTCGCAGACCTCGACTGTGTATACGGTCGACGGTCTCGGTCACATATTGGGCTCTCCTGCCACACAAGAGAAACCAATGAGGCTTGAGCGTCGGCAGGCATGGGGCCACGTGTGGCCTGATTGTTTGTTCGACGTGTCGATGTCAATTTTCCCACCCAACATATATATATACACTTTCAAGCTGGTTTAGTGTCATTTGTTAATCTTACTGAGGACTTCCTCTGCTTTACTTCCAAATAATTCAAGATTGTGTTCACTAAGCAAAGCAATCTAATGAAGTTCCAACATTTTTTCTTAAAGCACTTTGCATATATAATTGCACGTCATGTTGGGAAAAGTGCTTACAAGATTTACTAACATTGCTTATAATACGTGTTTTTTCTATAAGAAAAGGAGGAAAAAACAAAGAGTGAAAGCTTAGTCTTAGCGTTTGACTCAATCTACACTTCTCATGTTGGAGCTTGTGAATCAAAACTACTACCGGCCGGTAGATGCACCTTCCTCAAAAAAGCAAACAAAATTAAAAATAGTAAATAGTTGTCGATTGAAATAAACATTAATAACATATTTTGTGAAAGGAATTGTGCAGCCCACATGTTAGCTTTTTATGCTTTTACTAGTTTTATTATTAAGTTTTGGCTAGACTCAATATCGACTTTTATAAATCGCGTTGTACTTATTAATAAAGCTCCCAGTTTCCTTTCAAAAAAAAAAAATAATAATAATAAGTTCTCAATAGAGCCAATATATCTAGTGAGCAATATAAGTGACCTTTTGATAAACTACTTGAGAAAAATTCAATTATTTCAAGCCAAAGAAGAAGAAAAAACAAAAGGAGCTACCACGTACAACTATGTATTCTCAAAAGACAAAGTTGAAGAGTGTGTGGATCCTCTCATATGTAAAACATATAAATATATAGTCTGTAGAAATAAATGGATTAACAAAAAAAAAAAAAAAAAAAAAAGAATTGAACACTACGAGATTAAACCATTAATTAAAAATTTAATTCAACTATTAAAAATAATAATTTTTATCGGTAGTTAAAAATGATAAGAGGTGTTATAGAAGTTTTCAAAAAAAAAAAAAAAAACGCGTGCATGATCTCAAACTTTGTAGGAGGATTATTGTTAAGAAGTTGAGAAGGCATAAAAATGGCGAGGTACGTAGTTCGCCCCACGTCCTTTGGCCCCTCCATATCCAACTCAAAGATCAGGTACCCATGACCATGACAGACCAATAGATGATGACCACGTGGCAGAATGGTAACCCACGATTAAGCAGACCACCACCACAGTGACCACCAAGGCCAAACCAGTGATTTAATTGAGACCCCACAATTACCAATGGAAACGGTCTTTGTTGCCCTCCTAAGTCAACGTTTTAGCCAACTTTGAGGTACTAATAATAAAACGTGGTAGTGCGCGAAACATGCTACAACACAGCTCTTTTCCACCTGACATGTATCTTGATCTCTTTTTCTCTCTCTCTCTCTCTCTCTCTCTTTTTTCTGTCACACGTGCAATGTGTTTTGTCCCCAGCGCACGTTTTTTCTATTTTCTTTTAGAGATCTCTGCGATAAGAATAGAAAATTTATTAGTAGATCTTTATTTTAAACCGTTAAATTTATATTAGAAATGAATTATTTTTTTTATTTTTTTTTATTTTATTTTGATTTTGATCAAATTTAATGATAAAAATTTTATACGACTACCCTTCACTCTTTTATGATTTGATTTTATCTATGTTAATGCATGGTGTACTTTTTTTCATTTTAATTGGGCAGTATATTTGTGCTCTTCTTGCTCAGATAGCACCATAGTCCACATGAGCTGAGGCAATGAACATGGTTAAGTCAACCTTTTTAGTAAGCGCAATTATTTATCAGTCCATATACTTAAAAAAGTACCTACATTTCCATTTTTTTTAAATACTTCTAATTATTCATCCTTGTCAATGTTTTGAGAAGAGGATTAAGATCAAGGTTTAAAAAATCAAACTGTTTCACCAGGCCTTGCTTGCAATTCAATCTATCTAGAGGGGCACAAGACAATTTTTTTCTTTTAATGTTATCCAACAATCTCTCAGAATAACAAAATCACAAGAACAAATTTTTTTTTATTAAGAATATAAATTTCTCTTACATGAGTCCTTTGACCCACAAAAATTAACGTTACATGAATCAAATAGATTAAGAACAAGAATATTCAATTATATGAGTGTGTGGGGAGTGATATATTCTAATTACAGTTCTTAATACAAAAAATTATTATACCAAAAAAGAGAGAGAGTACGTCGGTGAAAGGTTGGTCTCGTACACACACACACACACACACATTTATATATATATATATATATATATGTACATATATATATTTGCTTTTGAGAAAAGGCTGTTCTCTTAAGGGCCAGCTCCAACATCAGTTGTTGAACCAATCCCCACCTGTAACCAAGATGATGAACCCTCACTCATATTCATATCCTTAAGCTCACTTAGCTTCGCTAACTTCACCTTACTGTCATCTTCATCCTCCACCACCACTTGATGATTATGATGATCATGATTATGATGATTCATGATCATCCCATTACTATTAATAGTGTTGTTGTTGTTGTTGCACTCTTCGTTGTGAATCACGTTGTCAACGTCGACGTTTTGGTGGTGCGACTCATGACGTTGTTGTTGTTGTTGATTATGCTGATGATGACTATGATTGCGATCCTGAATAGTAATACTAGTATTGTTACGATGATCTTCTTTCGCTGATGATGATCCTATCCACGGCTGTAAGTAAATCTCCGTCGACAATAATGTCGTCTTGACATCCATTACTGGAGCCGGCAAATTAAGGTCGAGCATCAGATCAAGATCGGCATGATCATCATTTTTCTCCTTGCGATTATTGTTGTTTATGATCATTTGCTCGTTGATGCTTTCGTGGAACTGTTGGAATTTTGCCAATGCTGATGTGTCCGGCGCGTTCGATGTGATCCAGTGGCACCTCTTGTGGCCTCCCAAGGCCTGCCCCGACGAAAAAATCCGGTGGCAGATTGAGCACTCGTGGACCTTCGATTTCCTCTTCGACGTCGCGGCCAGTGAAGCTAATGTTGTGTTTGAGCCCGATTGGCGATGATGATCCATTGTCGCCAATTTGGTCGAGAAGAATTCCTCGTGCGTGATGACGTCGTCATCGGCAAGGATTTCGTCCAGGCCCTGGTTGTGGTCGAGTCGGGCGGCGAAGCAGCCTTTAACCTTCTTGTGGCTGGCTCTGTGTCCCCCCAAGGCTTGGTGGGAATTGAACACTTTCTTGCAAGCTTTGCATTCGAACAAACCCTTACTGTTACTATTACTCGCAACTCCTTTGGCCTTGTTGTTCATGTTCATGTTGTTGTAATTGTTATTCTCCGGGACCCTAAAAGAAATCGGAGCGATGAAATTCAGGGTATTGATCCTCTTTTGTGCTTGCGCCTCTTCGTCTCTGCTCGCGGAGGCGCAGGACTCCTCCGGCTCTGCTGCCGCCGTCGCCATCGGATCGACCGCTGCTGCATTAGACAACATCATCAAGCAATTAGCCAGGTCTTCTTCCTCGCTTGAAGGGCAATGAGAATTGGTAGTATTGCCCACTTTCGCCCTAAACGATCTCTTCCTCTTGGACCAGTTACCGCAGCCCCGGCGGTCGTCGCCAGAGTCCACCGGAGAGGATAGGAGCGACTCGGCATCCTCGGAGCCGCATTTTCCGTGTTCGAGGAAAGATTTCCACGACAAGAACTCCTTGCCGCAGTTCTCGCACGCCCGGCAGCTCCTCAGGCGGTTAGGGTTTGTTCTCAAGGCGTACATGCGCTTGTTTGCCGGCGGGACGTTGCCGGCGCCGGCGGCAAGCTTGTCCTCCCAGTCGTTGGCTGCGTCTTCGTCGTCAAAGTGGCCGCCGCTGTCGTCACCGATGCCGTGCGCCCTCATGTGCCCTCCCAGAGCCCTACCGCACCCAAACCCTTTCTTGCAGATTCTACAAAAGTGCTTCAAGTTTGATTGCTGGTCCACAATCAAAGCCATACAACAATGTCAAAACCCCAAAAGAGAAAGGAAAAAGAAAAAAGAAAAAGAAAGAGAGAAGTGAATTGGGTTAAAAGGAGATATATATAAATATGTATATGTATATATATATAAATATAAAAAATTGAAGAGAGATGATGAGTTGTGTTGTGTTGGTTATGTTAGTAAGAGAGAGGATGGTGTTGGGTTTGGGTTTGTAAGGGTGAAAATTATAGTAAGTAGTCTCCTGGTTTATAGTTGGAGTATTGGTTAGTTTTGTGGTGAAAATGAAATCGGGCGGATGAGAGAGAGAGAGAAGAGAGAGGATCGTAGTGAGAGTAGTGTTAGTGTGGTGACAAGTGGAAGGAGGGTGAGAGGATGAGAGACTTTTTCTACGGCCCTCTTGTTTGGGGAGAGCTCCGTACTGGTGGCGCCGCCGGGTCAAACCCCCACAACCGAAGGCCAATGGCAATGGTTGTCCGTACATCCAGTTGTTCTAGCTCTAATTTATTTCTCTCTCTTCTCTCTTACCCTATTTTATGTGTGTGTCGTGTACTATTATTAATTGTCACATGTATATTGTATTTGAAATGTGAGATGTGATTGAATTAATTTTCACAAATGTCCCGTATGTGAAATGTGATTGAATTAATTTATACAAATGTCCTAATATTATGCACTCTAATTCAACATGCTACCTAAGGGTTTATTTCACCTTATGCGCTCTATAAAATTATTTAAAGCACTCTTTTCGTTTAAATCTGACATCTATGATTAGTCAGCTTGCTCAACGAATTATCGATTTATGTTAATTTGTTCCCGAATTTAAAAAAAAAAAAAAATCAAAGGCATATTAATTAAGAACTAGTAGTTTAGGAAATATTTATGAAATTATGCTTATCCAGGGATACTTGAAACAATTGCACATGGTTTAAAAGGATTAAATGAACCATTTTTAAAATTTAAATGGCATGTCAAATTAGGATACCTAATTCAAGGGTATTTAGAAATTAATCCAAAGTGATAATATGTGAGAGATAGTGAGAGAGAGAGAGAGAGAGAGAGAGAGAGAGAGAGAGAGAGAGAGAGAGAAGAGTCAGTGAAAGAGAGGAAGAGAGTGAGTGGTTCTAACTGCCATACCTATTCATATCCCTTCAATTCCAAGCCAAGAAAACTAACCCAATGCTTCTCCTTGTCTGTCGGTTGGTTCAAGCTGCTTTTTCGCTCCATAAACTTTTCTTTTTTACGAATACAAATATCTATATCCTATTTCTACCCCGTCATTAATTTTAGTTAACCAAAAAGAATTTAGCTAATTAATTTCTTTTTTCTTTGTCAATTATCCGCAATGGAGAAAATTTCTCTTTGATTATAACGGCCAGTATAACAATATTAATTTGTCGACAAGTGTTATGCTACGGTTGCCGTACGATATATATACACATTTTCCTAGTCAAGTTTCTTGTGAACTAATTAATTTGTTGTTTGTTTCTTGTTTACCATTCTGATTCTACTAATTTTGGAACCCTGGCGGGGTGAGTCAACCTGAAAACTGTCTTGATCTACGTACGAAAAATATGACCCGGAATTTTAGGATCCTTTTGAGCATATTCTGAAAATATATACCACTTGATTTTTTCCCACCTTTTTTTTTTTGTGTGTGCTTAATGTTGGAGTTTATCAATTTGTTTGACGACGATCGAGTTGATGAACTACCTGAATATAACCAAAACCTTAAAAAGTCACCTTTTGAACCCTTAATTTAATCAGAGTTTATAGACAATAAGTTAATTTTTAGCTAGCAGTAACTCTAAATTAACAAAAAAGACACCTAATATATATAACTAAACAATATGTACATAAATACTTATTTATTTACGCGTGTATATACTAATTTATATATTTCCCATACCATACATGCGTACGTATATATAAGTGTGTAATTTTTTTTCCTTTATTTGTAAATAATTCGATATTGAACAATTAATTTAAAAAATCCGAGAAACTGAAAGAGAGTAGTGGTTTAGATCTGATCCTAAAGAACTGGAACTTTTCCCTGCATTGTCGAGAAAGCAAATAGGATTATCACACCAGTTAAAAATAATACGCGTTTATAATTATACAATAACTTGGAATATATATATATATATATTATATACATATTTTAATCTTTCAGTGCATAAATAATCTTGACTCTCACTAATTAAGATTATTATTAATTTTATCAAGATTAATGGAGAAGGATTTTGTATATATATAGGACAGTGCTTATCGACCTTCCAACACCAACTTTTTCCTTTAGGTATCATTTATTAGAAGGTGAGTCCAAAAACTGAAAACAAGTTATTTGATCACAATCTAGTTGCAGGTGATATATAGATGTCGAAATCCAAATAAATACAAAAATAAAGTACAGAGGAATAAATTAAACCTAGTCAAATGGCAAAACAAAGTAGATCTGCTATATGTTTGACTGACTTAATTAATTCTTACCTAATAATATATACAATAACAACAATAATTAACTATTAATTGGGTTTCAGTCTTTGATCAGATTAGATCATCACCCCTTTCTATTATTATTATTATTATTATTTCCATTCTGATCGCATACAGCTGAATTTGCTCTACATCACTACGGTTATGATAAATTATATTATATTATTCATCAATACCTTATATGTGCACAGTTATTTAAAAAAGAAAGGAAAAAAAAAAAAAAAAAAAAAGAAAGAAGAAGAAGCAGCTAGCGATCTCTCAGTGGGATTCTTGTGTTTGGTCCCGGTGTACTGATCCGTAAAGAGTTCAAAGAAATGATTAGCTCTGCTTTTGTACCTTTACAAAAATAGCTGATGAGTTACAACAATTATGTTCAATATGATCAAGATGTACTCCACTGCATTTTATATGTTAATGAATTGTATATTGTTGGTTCTTCTCTATGCGTGCTCTAGTTTTGATCTATTATAAGTGATCTATACCTACCGGAAGCAATAAAATCACCAAAAAAATCAAACAAAATAGAACACAAGATCAATATTGGTTTTTTCTCAATGTGAGAGCTATGTCTACTTTCACGAAAATGTTTACAAGAGAATATCTCTAAACTCTCTTATTAGTTCTAAGGTAATAATCGTCAAATAATAATTAAGCATGTGTATGTGTACATAAAGTTTGCTAGCTATAAAAAAGCCTAACAAGTATACGTAACATAAATGTAAGTATAAGTATTGATTATAGCTAGATGGCTTCATTCTTTTCTGCATGCCTGATGAGCTTATTTATTTATAAATAATTTATATGAGACAATGTGTTTCCTTAATAGTTGAGCTTTCAGCAGTGGTGTGGGTCATGAAGTTGCACTGGCACTTACTATTTCAATTAGTCAGTAAACTCTAGGCTAAGCAAAGACATTGCTTCAGTCAGTGAAGTAAGATTAGTCACTAAACAATCATTATATTTCCCACACTTTTTTGCTTTGATTCAAAGCATTCACAAAAATAAAACAAGTGGCGATGATCAGTTGAGTACTAATGAGAGAGTGATTAATAATATTTAAGCAGCTCACACACACTGAGTTCAGCAAAGGAAAAAGTCCTTACTTAACTGATCATCTTACCTGCAAATGTACTATAAGAGTTGGATCGTCCATTACTCATAATTTGTAGGACAACAACCACCTACAAAATTTCATTAATCAAAAAGGTAAAATCAGCTAATCATGTTTGTGATTAATTTAACTGGAAGTCACTATATATTGGTTTGTTTCACTGTTGATTAAGTATATATTCGGTCTGCCTTGTTCCTTAATAACAATATTAGTTAGCAGTTTAGTGTGATTGTAGGTATAATTTAGGGTAATATTTATCATATCTGACTCCACCACAACGTGTAGAGATCAATCGCCACCCCAAGTTCAAAAAAGAAAAAAAGTGCTTAATAGTATTTATATTTTGATTGTGATTAGGAATTAATTAATGAGCAATGTTATTGAGCACTTTAAAGGCCTTATGTGACTTCATTTTTTTTTTTTTTTGGCTGGAATTATGTGACTTCGTTTGGAATAACATATATGTCGTATTTGGCACGCTTCTTTGTAATCATTAAAAATTGTATGTGTGTATAAATGTTTCGTTTCTAACCCTTTGATTTGTGGCTTGGATTGTATATTTTTCTAGTTACTTAGTTGGTTGCTTGTATATAGATGATGAGTACTGAAATTAAGAGAAAACTTAGATTCTAAGTTCAACAGATGAGTGAGCATATTATAGGTTACACTAGCTATATAGTTGTTAAATCGTGGAGTTCTATTATTATTCTGACTCACACACAGATCAAACTTACAATTTTAGTTGTTCTAGTTTTTTTTTTTTTTTTTTTTTTTTTTTTTTTTTTTTTTTTAGTTTTTTTTTTTATTTTTTTTATATATTGAGAAGGATGTCATTTTAAGGTTATGAGAGATTATACACAAAAACACTATGAATTTGAGAGGTGCCCGATTTCTCTTATAATGTTATTCTTCATCAAAGTGAATTATCGAAGCGATTGAAAATGGATATAACTCTCATTTTTTTTTCTTAAAAGAGAGATCATAACTCTCATATTGAGGACCTACAATAAATTTTTTGCGTATTTTAATTTTTCTTATTTTGTGATTTTATTACTCTTATTAGTAAACACAAAAGGCGTTTTATTCTTAAAACTAGTCATCCTATGCTTTTTTATCGCTACATTTTTTTTTAAAACAAGAAACTGTACATTCATGATACAAATTATGTACAAAGTTAGAGGAAGAGTTATTCTCAAGACACAAAACAGAGACTAAGCTACAAAAGGGGGCCTAGATACATGTAATAAATAAATCAATCAAAATCTCCAAATTAAAACCCTAAAAACTCCAAATGAGCCTTGAAAATTGAAAGTCTTAACCCTAAAACTCCAAAAATTAATGAAGACCAAAACTAAAAATTATGACTCTTAACCTCAAGTCCGAAATAAGATTGAAATCCTACCTCCTTCCC